ACAGGTGAAATTCGAAAAATTAGAATATTGTGCAAAAGTTCATTTATTTCAGTAATGCAACTTAAAAGGTGAAACTAATATATGAGATAGACTCATTACATGCAAAGCAAGATAGTTCAAGCCGTGATTTGTCATAATTGTGATGATTATGGCTTACAGCTCATGAAAACCCCAAATCCACAACCTCAGAAACTTAGAATATTACATGCAATCAATAAAACAAGGATTGTACATAGAACAATATCGGACCTCTGAAAAGTATAAGCATGCATATGTACTCAGTACTTGGTTTGGGCCCCTTTTGCAGCAATTACTGCCTCAATGCGGCGTGGCATGGAAGCTATCAGCCTGTGGCACTGCTGAGGTGTTATGCAAGACCAGGATGCTTCAATAGCGGCCTTCAGCTCTTCTGCATTGTTCGGTCTCATGTCTCTCATCTTTCTCTTGGCAATGCCCCATAGATTCTTTATGGGGTTCAGGTCAGGCGAGTTTGCTGGCCAATCAAGCACAGTAATCCCACGGTCATTGAACCAGGGTTTGGTGCTTTTGGCAGTGTGGGCAGGTGCCAAGTCCTGCTGGAAAATGAAGTCAGCATCCCCATAAAGCTCGTCTGCGGAAGGAAGCATGAAGTGCTCCAAAATCTCCTGGTAGACGGCTGCGTTGACCCTGGACTTAATGAAGCACAGTGGACCAACACCAGCAGATGACATGGCTCCTCAAATCAACACAGACTGTGGAAACTTCACACTGGACTTCAAGCATCTTGCAGTGTGTGCCTCTCCATTCTTCCCATACTCTGGGTCCTTGGTTTCCAAATGAGATGCAAAAGTTGCTCTCATCAGAAAAGAGGACTTTGGATCACTGAGCAACAGACCAGGTCTGTTTTTCTTGAGCCCAGGTAAGATGCTTCTGACGATGTTTGTTGTTCAGGAGCGGCTTGACAAGAGGAATATGACATTTGAAGCCCATGTCCAGGATCTGTCTGTGTGTGGTAGCTCTTGATGCACTGACTCCAGCCTCAGTCCACTCCTTGTGAAAGTCCCCAACACTTTTGAATGGTCTTTTCCTGACATTCCTCTCCAGGCTGCGGTCATCCCTGCTGCTTGTGCACCTTTTTCTTCCACACCACGTTCTATTAATGTGCTTTGATACAGCACTTTGGGAGCATCCAACTTCTTTTGCAATTACCTTTTGAGGCTTTCCCTCCGTATGGAGGGTGTCATTGATGGTTTTCTGCACAACTGTCAGGTCAGCAGTCTTTCCCATGATTGTAATTCCTACTGAACCAGACTAAGAGACCATTTAAAGGCTCAGGAACCCTTTGCAGGTTATGGCTTAATTACCTGATTAGAGTGGGACACTTTGAGCCTAGAATATTGCACCTTTTCGCAATATTCTAATTTTCTGAGATTGTGGATTTGGGGTTTTCATGAGCTGTAAGCCATAATCATCACAATTATGACAAATCACGGCTTGAACTATCTTGCTTTGCATGTAATGAGTCTATCTCATATATTAGTGTCACCTTTTAAGTTGCATTACTGAAATAAATGAACTTTTGCACGATATTCTAATTTTTTGAGTTTTGCCTGTACAAGTGTCAAATGCATGCACATTAATTTATTTAATTGTCCAGAATAATAATTTATTCTGACCTTAGAAATTAATTAATGCTTAAGTGCTAAACGTGCCTAGTGTTAACACACGTCTAGGCTTGTTTACACGCATCTTTTTTTTTTTTTCTGCCAAAATGCTGCTGCTCCTGGACGCACTGGCCCTGGGTTTTTTTTTTTTCCTGTTTGTAAATGCTCCTGCCACTAAAAGTCTTTTGTGTGCATGGATACATAGGATAACATGATGGTCCGTTTACAAGCAATAAAAAAAAAAATGCCTGACGCCCCTAAAAGTGGCTGCAAAAACACCCTCTGTGCATGAGGGGAAGCTCCAAAAGAGGTGATATCTCGCGCTCGCTCTCTCTCTCTCTCTCGCGCTCTCTCGCTCTCTCTCTCTCTCTCGCGCTCTCTCTCTCGCGCTCTCGCTCTCTCGCGCTCTCTCTCTCTCTCTCTCTCTCGCTCTCTCTCGCTCTCTCTCTCTCTCTCTCGCTCTCTCTCTCTCTCTCGCGCGCTCTCTCTCGCTCTCTCGCTCTCTCTCTCTCTCGCTCTCTCTCTCGCGCTCTCTCGCTCTCTCTCGCTCTCTCGCTCTTGTGTCTATTCTATATTCTTTTATAAAGATTAAAGTAAATCTATTGAAAGTGTACCTGTTTCTAATGTTGGTTGTATCTCTTTTTACTTACAGCGTCAAAATACTAAAATGTGACACTACACAAATTATCCCTTGCCAAATATGGAGTGGTTAATAGACTCTGTTGAGAAAGAACTTGGCATTGATCAGAAGCAACTTGCTATATCTGAAGCTGGCAGTCATGTAATCGCTCTTGTATCTCAAAAATGGCTCTTCAACATGAAAGAACGCAGAACAGTTCCACTGCAATGTCCCAAGCTTGAAGGATTTAGCAGTGTAGAAATTAAAACATTTTTGCAGCGTTCCGTCCAGAAATTACCTACTGGCTGGACAAGGGTAGAGATTCATGGACTACGAAAAAGTAGGCTGGCCTACTCATTGGCTTTAAACAATGGTTTCCTACAAGGACAGAATGGGGACTATGCATCATTGTTTAGTTTTATGAACAATGTGGCCCAACAAAACTATAAGAACATGTGGTACAAAGCCCAAAGGAGTTATGTGCAGCCCTATGAAAATTTATCTAAAGTGCCAAGCATGCAGGCCTTGGATGCTTTGAAGTTGTCTCTCCAGAAAATTTATGGTTGCCCATTCATTGTCACATATAAAGAATCTACTAGTCTGTCTCCTTCCAAAGAGAGTGCCAGTTTTGTTGTTGGGGCTCCCTCTTGCCCCAATATTGTCCCAGCTGAAGCTTTGTTGGAATCATCTGGCATGTTGTATATTATCTTACCATACATGCAGTATTCATTATATGATGCTATTACATTTAGTCCTGCTAAGCTCGCAAACAGTCATGCCAAAGTACTTTTTTATTTTATATAATATTCTCCAGGCCATGAAGGCATGCCACTTAGCAGGCTTATCAAGCGGATCCATTTCATTATGCAATGTGGCTGTTGATGAAAAACTTTGCAGTCAGCTAAGGCCTAACTTTGTTGATTATGAAAGGCAAATTAATAGCTCATTGAGTAGTAGGGAAGATTCATCAGATATCATGAATCAGGTGAAATCAAGTGCACTATGTGTGTCATGCAATTGTGAGCTTAAAGACATGGTTATTGATTGGATTCATGGAAGGGTTAGCAATTTTGACTACCTTATGTATTTGAATAAACTTGCTGGCAGGAGACAGGGAGATCCAAATTACCATCCAGTCTTACCATGGGTTGTTGATTTCACTACCAAAAACGGCAAATTTCGAGACCTGAAAAAATCCAAGTTTCGTTTAAACAAAGGTGACAAGCAACTAGAATTCACATATGAGATGACAAAACAGGCATTTGTAGCAGGTGGTGGCAGTTCAGACCAGTTGCATGTTCCTCACCATATCTCAGATGTTCTCTCAGATATTACATACTATGTATATAAGGCTAGAAAAACGCCAAAAACTGTACTTTGTAATCATGTGCGTTCTCAGTGGGAGCCAAACGAATATCCAGCAAGCATGGAGCGTATGCAGGCATGGACTCCAGATGAGTGCATTCCAGAATTTTACACTGACCCTACTATATTCAAATCCATTCATGCAGACATGCCAGATCTTGACATTCCATCTTGGTGCAGTTCATATGAAGATTTCATAAATGTACACCGGGCACTTTTAGAAAGCCGAGATGTGTCTCAAGATCTTCATCACTGGATAGACCTTACTTTTGGGTACAAGCTGACTGGGAAGAATGCAGTAAAAGAAAAAAATGTCTGTCTTCACCTGGTGGATAATCATACCAACTTGACCTGTTATGGAGTTGTGCTGTTGTTTGATCAGCCCCATCCCAAACGTCTTCTTGGGCCTAGTTATTCTCTTTTTGAAGCTCCTGCTGTAGTTAAATCTAGACATAGTATTGTTGAGATGACTGCATCTACTGACAAACGCACGGTCAATGGCCTTGTGCTTGAAGCCATTGCTTGTGAGAGTCATTGGACTAATGATAAAGAGAGCACAGCAGATGATGATCTAGAGCAAGGAACTGAGGCTCTTGATGCATTAGGAAGTTCAGGAAAGGGTGTTGATCAGGCCACCATACCCTCTCTCCATATTACTAGTTCCAGTAACTTCTCAGGTGAAAGCAGATCTCCTCCTGTTAGGACAAACAGGCCATTCAAGATTGCATCTGAAGAAAACTGTGGAAAGATCTCATTGCCTGAAGGTTTTAATCCTATACAAGCTTTGGAAGAACTGGAAAAGCTTGACAACTTTTTAGTTCGAGGTTTGCATAGCACCATACTTCCAGTGAAAGAATCGAAAAAACAAGCATCCACTGAGCCTTTTAGATCTTTTTGAGAGAGACATACAAGCTTTGGGTGTTATGATGGCAGAAATAGTTTTTGCCCCAAGAATTCATACTATGGCCCCTAAATCCCCTCTTCTGGAACGATATATTTTAGTTCGAAATCTCGGCAAACATCACGTGAAAGAGATTCCTACACCTCTTCTACAGATGCTCGAGTCTTTTTTGCAGCTACATGCTCCAGATGAAGAGCTTTTAAGCACTGTGGACATTGAGGAGACACAGGTCAAACTGTTTGAATTTCCTCACATTTCTAATGGTCTTCCTCCACCATCACCCTCCCAGCTCCTGAGTCCATTTTGTTCAACTATTCCTTTCCCCAAGTACTTTCCTAACTTGTATAAATTCATCTTGACCTATCAGTCACGAAGAACAGAAGATGACAGCCAAGGTCGGGAGCTTGTGTTCCAGTTGTGGCAACAAATAGATGGAATTCTTTGTGATATTACCCCTGAAGGATTAGAAATAATTCTTCCATTTGTCTTGTCATTAATGACTGAAGGAAGTACAGCTGTTTATGCAGCATGGTATCTTTTTGAGCCTGTGGCCAAAGCTCTGGGCCCAAAAAAAAACACAAACAAGTATTTATTGAAGCCACTTATAGGTGCATATGAAAACCCTTCATATATTCATGGAAGATTTTACCTGTATACAGATTGCTTTGTAGCCCAGTTGATAGTACGTCTGGGCTTGCAAGCATTTCTTTCAAATTTACTTAATCATGTGCTTCAAATACTTGTTGGAGTAGAGAGCTCGGGTGATGAAGGAAAATTGCTGTCTGGAACAGCTGAAGATGAGGAAAGTGGTGGGGAGAGCCCAGTTGCTGGTGAATTTGGTGAAGGTCGTCAGAATAGTGTAGACCATAGTGGCTCTTCCCATGAACTATTAGACTATACTTCTGGGGTTAGTTTTCATGATCAAGTTTATCTAACAGAAAATGAGGACTTTCAAGGGGGACTGTATGTCAATGATGCCCTTCATGCTCAAGAACCAGAGTCTCTCAGCCTTGGAAGGTTAAGTGACAAAAGCTCTGCAAGTGAAGTCTCCCTAGGAGATGAGAAAGTGCCAGATAGTGACTCCCTCAGAGAAAAAGGTAGCATGAAGTCTGGAGATAGTAGTCAGGACTTAAAACAAAGTGAGGAGTCTGAAGAAGAGGAAGAGCGGGATTCTTCCCCTGGTCTATCAGAATTAACCCTCTCAGTCAACACAGATGCTTCAGCTGATACAGTTGTAACCAATGAAAACCAAGAACTGGAAGAGGATGAACCGGATTTAAATAATCAGACAGAAGAAAAAGAACAGAAGATATTAATAGGTAAAACTATACTTCATTATTTGTGATTTCTAGAAGCCTGCTTATTTATTTACTGTTTAATTTATCTAATTTATTATTCAGTTAAATAGGAACTGAAAGCTAGAATAAACTGAGCTACTTGCTGTTATCTCTTGGAAATTCAGACCGCAAGATGTCTGTATATGAATTCCCAATTCCACCTATCCGCAATTTCTTCATATTTTTAACTTCCTGACATGTCATCAGGACAGGAAATGAAAAATCTGAACAGGGTCCATATCCACTTGCTGTAATACAAACAAGTCATTTTCTTAAGGCATGTTTAGACTCAAACTATAGCTTTAGCTAGTGTTAACTTAAACCAATTGCCCTTGCTATGGCAGAACCCACCCAGAGAGAAAACACTCTTTCTTATATTGACCTCTCAAAGAAGTAAAAACTGGTGGTCTTATGCCTCTCCTGCATGCCAATAAAAAAAAAAACAACAACAATCCCCTTTACAGACCCTTAAGAATTTTGGCATCGGTTAGATATATTTGAGAACAGTGTTGGGATAGAGATTGTTGTAGAGACATCCAGCTCAAGATTATACATCGAGCATACTGGTCCTTCAACATCCCCCTTAATCCCCCCACAAGAGTTTTCCAGGTTAATACCACCTACTTTGGTCTTGCCAAGTTATAGAAAATGTTTAGAAAACCTCTCAAGACTCCTACACCCAATGATTTGTCTATTTAATAATGCAGACAGTGCAGAGGTCTGCCTTGTAAACCATATGGAAACAGATGTCTCTTAGAAATAAAAAAATGTATCCAACCTAGATGGCTTCTACCCAAATCTCCAACTTTAACAAGTCTAAAGTCCTATTTGTTAAAAATGCTTTTAGAAAAACTAGTTATTGCATGACAGAAGCCTAGCTATAATGAAAAAAAAATTTGATACTTGATGGCTTAACTTTCCTGTCACAAAATTACCACGGGATCAGTTGAGGGAGATCATGCTAATCTTTAAAATTATTATTTGGTTTCAAAAAGAATTCCTGGGCAAACTCAATATTTTATCACCTTCACCACCAACTACTCATGATCCCACTCTGCCATTTGGGTAACTATTTGTGCCTTAAGGGCTCGTTCACATTTGACTTTTTTTCCAACTCTTGCCAAACGTCCCTATAGCGTTTGACAAGCGTTGGTCCGGCATTTGCGGAGCATTTTTAACTCTCCGCAAACGCTCCAAAAATGTTGCATGCGTGGTTTAGCGAAGGTTGCTAGGCGTTTGCCAATCGTTAAAAACGCCCCACAAATGCCTATAATGAAGTTTGAATGGTGTTAACGCTCCGCAACGCAAACGCTGGCCGGGCGTTTGCGGAGCGGCATCATAGGAGGCTTCAACTCCTGAATAGGAGGCTTCAACTCCTCCTGACTTGACCAGAGGCGTCCGTTTTGCCACGACGCTAACGCTCCTGTTTGAACAGCACTATGTGCTGCAATGTACAGAATTGTCCGAGGCGTTTGGAAAACAGTAAAAATGCTTCCCAAATGCCTGTCTGCTGCTTGCTAACAAGGCTAGTGTGAACGTAGCCTTAAACCCTTGTTTTTGAAGTGTGCAGATAAAATACATGATGTCTTCATCTGTTATATCATGTCCTGTAACTTCAGTTAGGGTTTTTTTTTTTTTTTTTTTTTTTTTTTTTCTTTTTGTTCTGTTATATTTAATCTAATCTTTTGTAACTACCCTTTGATCAATATAACTGTCAATTTATCTAGCCTTTTTTTTTTAGCACACGCTAAATCTGTTCTAACTTTTCTACTTGTATAACCTTTTTATTCAACCGTTTCATTCTCAAAAACCCTTTTATTCACAGACATTTTGTACTCCTTTTTTTTATTTAGTTATTTAAATAGAAATCAGCATCAAAGAATTCTGCTTATAAGCATGCTTGGTCCTTCGTGAATTAGCACTGTATTGTGTCCTCTGTAAGCCCATATATACCAGAGTACTTGTTTTGTAATTTTGTGCAAGTTATGCATTATTATAATTGTATTAGCTTAGATTTTAGATTTGTGGTCCTTTTTTAAAGTGTCCTTTATGATTTCTTCCACAAAATCTACTACTAACCTTTTTCACACACAAACATAGTTACTTTGCATATTTTTTTGCGTTAACAAGATCATTTCCTGTGTACTGTACATTTATCTGGATGCACTTTTGTTTTGCAGATACTGCCTGTAAGATGGTAAGGTGGCTTTCAGCCAAGCTAGGTCCAACTGTGACCTCTCGCTGCATTGCCAGGAATCTGCTAAGATTACTCACGTCCTGTTATGTTGGTAATTGTCTCTCTTTTTTTTACTAAATTGCTATTTCGCATGCTTAAACTTGATATCTTTATATAGCAAAGATTGAGGGTCTCAATCATAAAACATATCAGGAGAGACTTCAACAACTTAATATGTGCAGGCTGGAGGAAAGAAGGAAAAGGGGAGACATTATTGAAACCTTTAAATACATCAAGGGGGTGAATAAGGTTCAAGAGGGCAGACTTTCCAATATGAAGCCGAGATCAAGAACGCGAGGACATGACTTCAAACTAGCAGAATGAAAGTTCAAAACTGAAAGAGTAGTTGATGCTTGGAATATACTTCCAGTAGAGGTAGTGAGTTAGTCAACAGTAAGTGGATTCAAACATGCTTGGGACAAACATAGATCTAAAATACAAAAATATGTAGGAATAATAAAAAGGGGCAGACTCGATGGGCCACTTGGACCTTTTTTTCTACTGTCACTTTTTCACTTTTCTATATGTCTGTGTAATCAGTGCACATGTGTATGTTTACTATTATTACAAAAAGACAGCTAGTGCCTTGTTTAAATATCTTGGATATGTGTCGCTTTGGTAAAAATTGGATCATTAGATCGGTAACTAGAGCTAGAATTGATTTTGGTTGACTGTTCTGTAACGGCTCCTCTGGATATAGCTCTATCTTTTTGTATGCCGTTGTCCGGTCATAAATCCTTGAGCCTCAACACTGAAGTTTTCTGTAGACACAGCTGGCTATTTAGGTTTGATTAAACTGCTTTTGAGCAAATGCTGGAGGGAGTGCTCAGGTGGTATTATCATGACTGGGAGTATTGGAGAAAGACAGTAGTTATTGGACATGAAAACTCCATCCGGCCGATTTTTTGCGGTTCCTCCTCATTTTTCTTTCATCGGTCATGCTGGAAAATTTGTGAAAAAACAGCTGATTTTCGCAATCATTGGTGGCAACAGAACGACCAATGTTTCGTTTTTCGGAAGAAAAATCAGCCGATAAACGAACCGTCTATGGCCTACATAAGTCTGGGGATGTCTGCTGGGATAGGGAAGGGTAAACAGACATAAGTCAGATCAGGTGAACTTTGTTTTTACTCCTTGTTTGTTTTGCAATTGCTCCATCTTTATCCAAAATCAGTCTATGTATGGTTGGCTTTATATATTTCAACTTGTACTCCCAATCATCATTCAATTTTTTTGCCAATAGTTAATGGCTTCCCCATTTTTAATTGTTTTGTATCACTAGTTTTTTTTTTTTTTTTTTTTTTTCTTTTTAATTTCTTTTTATTAGTTCTAAAGACGTATACAACAATGCAGCGCAACAGCACTTAAAAATAACCCAAAAGCAAAGAACAGTGTGCTTCAATAGTCTGTATCACTATCTAACAGTGTATTATGTAGCTTCAAGGCACAAACTGGACATAGACCTCATCTGCAATATGCTTTTGAGGATGGAAGACCAATTTTCTCAATTACATGTGGTATTAACTCGAAAAATATGTTACATTTAAATTCCATTATGTTAAAAGCATTACTGGTAAAACATGGACCAGTTTATTCAATTGAAAAACTAAAGTGTTAATATATGCATGATCCCTGTCACATGCAGGTCACCAGAGACATCAGTTTCTATCTAACATGGAGGAGAATAGTCCACTAAATGTCAAGAGGATGGTGTATGGTGATCAGGTGTCTAGGCCTGTGCTAGAGTGCCTGATGCATATGGCTCATCTCTATGGAGAACCTTTTCTTACCTATCAGTATCTGCCTTACATCAGTTACCTGGTAAGTTATAATTACTGCCGGATGCCAAGTATTAAAAGAAAAAAAAAGTTGTATATTGATGGAAAGGAATTGATACAAAGAAGGGATATGGTTTAACAGTACACAAATATTGAATAGCAATTACGTTTTGGTAATCACTATTTTGTCTGGCCATTTAAACCAGAATTCTAGAATTTGTGAGATGAGGCTGGTTTCATAAATTTAAATTACTTCTGTGCCATCGTTCTGTAGCTACCATGCTATACACTAGGTTTTTCTGCTTGTAATTAGTTGACAAATCCATAGAAGTTAGTGGAAAACTTGGCACCTAGCAGAATTGACTGGAAGGGTATGAGAAGTGGAAGTTCAGTTTATGATTTAGATTGTAACATACAGACCATGGACTATATTGGTCTCTTATTGCACTCTATATCCAAAACATTCTAGTGGAGCAAGCAGCAGATTAAAGGATAGGTTCACCTTTTGGAATATGTTACACCTGTATTTAGGATGCAACATGTTCCATGACAGCACACCCCAGCACATTGGGAAAAAAAAACCTTTAAAGGATAAGTTCACTTTTGGACAAATATAATAAATGCATTTTTTTTTTTTGCAGGTAAAAAATGTGCATTTATTATTTTTGTCCAAAGGAGCCTGGAAAGCATTGCACCAGCGATCAGTAGATGGCTAATGCAATGCAGGTCTCCTGCAGACCTGTCAATATATCTGCTTGCTGTACGGGATATACGAGCAAGCAGATATACTGACAGGAAGCTTCAATGAACTACCACAGCGCTTCACAGCACTGTGGTAGCTCATTGAAAATAGCAAGCGAACAGCCGCTAAAGCCATCGGGACTGTGAATGAGTGACGTGGCTGTGTGGGCGGAGTCCCGCACGGCCACGCTGTTTTCAATTTTGACAGATAGTATGGGGAGAAGTTCCTCCATACTATCTGTCAGAGGGAGGGGGGCAGCTATGGGAACATGTTACATGTTCCACCCTAAAAACTGATAGAATATGTAACATGTTCCAAAGGTGAATTTATTCTTTAAAGCAATCTGTCTGGAGGCTGAACACGTATCGGAGTAGATTTTGATAGAAGCTGCTATAATCTAACTGCTATGTGTTTGAGCACTTGATTCATAAGTGATTTCCCACTGGTGATTCTGATTTACCAGAATTAATCTTCCATTGTAATGTAAGTAGCTGCCTTTCCAGCTAGAACACTGCAGAATCGCATGAGCGATTTAAAGTGTTACTAAACCCTCAACAGTGAAATCAGTCTGTATATGCAGTAAAGCATGTTTGCTATACCTACTTTGGAACCTAAGTGGTTAATCATCCACATTGTGTAAAAACGATGTTTGATCCTGGCTTCTCTGATCCTCCCTTTCTTCCAGTGTCTCCTAAATATCTCCTGATAGAACAGAGGCTCGGGGGCAAAGCTACTCATGCTCAGTTTGGTGTGTATTGCTAGAGAGTGGGTTTTTTTTTTTTTGGAGAGGGCATGTGATCAGCACAGGGCCAACCAGCACTGTCCAGATAGGTCAGTGGTCCTGTATCCTCCTACAAGATAAAGAAAACTCCGCCTACAAGCTGTAACCAGTGCTCTGGTGGACACTGATAGAAGTCACAAGACTGTCTAACTGCTGATGAGAAAAGGTGTTTAGCAGTTTACATTTACTAAAATAATTGCATTTCAATGTTCTGTGTCCTGTGGGAGACCCGATATAGTGAATGCAGGGTCTTGGGTTTAGTACCTACTTTGTGTCTTAATTCCTCATTTGTGTTTATTTTAAAACTGGACTGGATGGCTTTCTATGGTCTCACCTGCAAACAGTATTTCATATGCATGGATATTGTTGGTGATGTGTATTGGACTTCTTGGAACAATGGGGGGAATTAAAGCCTTGTGCAAGCACAATGCTTGCACCACTCTTCTAAAAATAAAAATGGTGCAAGTCATTTTGTTAATTAGGGGTTATCAGTTCTCTGATCTGCTGTGACAGATACAGCAAAGAGAGTTGGAGATGTATGCTCCCTTCATGCTCTGATCGCTCTGCTTGTCCCTGCCCCCTTCTCTGCTCAAAGCGAGAGGGAGGAGGAGGGTTTTAACCCTGCAGGCTCTGCTCATGAAGTGTAATTGCTGTACGTGCAGACAGAGGGATGTGAGCTGTCTACTGACAGCCCACATCACCTGTGAAAGAGTCACCCCTATGGAATCTCTGTATACAAACTGCAGCAGGTGGCACAGATAAAACTGGAATAGGCTTGGTTAATGTGGCGCACACCACTTCTGACAGTTTTCTCTGCTATTGCTTAGTTTATTCCCCAGAATGTGTGATAAACACCATTTTAGTGTGGGTGGGTGTTGTGTGTGTGTGTGTGTGTGGTTTTTTTTTTTTTTTTTTAAATATATGCAATTGGCATAAGTACCTGAGTGTATTTTGGTATTTGCCTCTGGTATCCTATGCAGAGAACTATTCAGACTGGGAGAGGGAGGGGGGACATTAATACCTAATCAGTTTGTGCTGCATGCATGGGTGTTTGACAGGAGGATAACGTGAGCAAATGACTTGCAACTGTGCTGCTTTGCATTCATTGACTGGACAGCAGTGATGTGACACTGCTGTATTCTTGTAACAAAGTAAATATCACCCTCCTGTCTGTGTTGTGAGGGATAGGTGTAGTAATTGAAAAAGGGGCTAAATCTCTCTGCTGATCCCCGCTGAGCAAGCAGAGGACGGGCTGCTGCAGAGCAGCTCGCTCTCCTCAGTGGGCGGTCGGAATGAAAATGAACCGCCTGTCCGTTTCTATCCGACGGACGGAAGGGGAATTGGATCCCCATCCGTCCCTTTTTTTTTTCGGCAGATCTGATTGGATGTCGACGGCTGTAAACGGACACATGTCCGTTAACACCTGCTGCTCCATAGAGCAGAATGGAGGTTCTGGTCTGGTCCGCCTTAAAAATGGGCAGGCGGACCCGATCGGAATGTCCTTGTGAAAGAGGCCTTTGGCAGATAAGACTGGTCTTGTGTATTTCAGCTGTGTTTTAGCTGTTTGCTTGGAGTCCAGCTTCAGCTTTTACTTGTTACAAAGCCTCGCTTGTATAATAGAAAATAACAACAACTGATCTGGGTTACACAATATTAGAGCTGAAAGATTGGTTTTATTGAATGTGAAGTGGAAAAAGGTATGGAAAGTAGTATTTTGTATTGGACCACTTAGTGTGCCTCGATTTACTGTAAGAGGCTGTCGTGTGTAAAACTAGAAAGTAAAAACAGGAAGGAGAAATTCCTGTATTTTAGCTGGTGACATGGAGTGCAAATCTAGCATAAAACTCTTCTTTTTCCTTTCCTACATAGTCTGGACATTCCCGTGTATGTTGTCCAGATGATCTTAAATCTTAATTCAAAGCAGTGTCTTTGATTATTGCTTCTTTCTGTCCATTCACTTATCTTTTTTTTTTTTTTTTTTTTTTGTTATATCAAATCCCGACGGGAGAAGATTGATCATACACTAACGAGAGATGTTTGCCAGCCAAATATTTGAGCTAATTTTCCTGCTCCTCTGGTGGTCTTATTTTTATCTTTTTTTTTTTTTTTTCATTTGTCAGCCAAACTATTTAATGTTGTAACAAATTCTGAATGAATGGCAATTCAGTTTTTGGCTAGCGTTTTGTCTAATCTTAAAATTTTGAGATTGAAAGAAATGAACAAAAACCATTGTTGGTGCAGGCATTTTGAAGCTGAACCCCAAGCAAATATATATACATACATACACATATATATATTACATACATATACATGAATACATACTATGTATATATATGTGTATGTATGTGTGTGGTGTATATATGTGTGTGTGTGTGTGTGTGTGTGTGTATATATATATGTGTGTGTGTGTGTGTGTGTGTGTGTATATATATATGTGTGTTGTGTGTGTGTGTGTGTGTGTATATATATATATATATATATGTGTGTGTGTGTGTATGTATGTATATATATATATATATATATATATATATATATATATATATATATATATATATATATATAGATATATATATATATATATATATATAGTAAGCTGCACAGCCTACCCATAGTTTTGTATTTCTGTCCATCCAGCCCTGAGAGTAACACAGCCCGAATTCTCAACACACAGCTAGGTTGGTGACCTGACTCATATCTGCTGCAGTTAAGCCACACAGCTTGGTCTCTTCCCTGCCCCAGTCTGTGACTGGACATTTCAAAAGGCACAGCATGCTGTCTGCTTCTCCCCATCTTCTTTTCCATGTGTGGCTTTTACAGTACATGAAGACTTGAAAGAGTGCAATCTTGACTTCACAGATTGCAGATAAACAGAATGGGATTCAATAAAATACATTTTTTAAAATCGTTTTTTTTAAGTAAATACTTAACTGCATATTTTAATAAATGTTTGTAGTTAATTTTTAAAGAGAAAAAAAATAAGTAAAAAAAAATATCTAAAAATAAGTGTGTGTGTGTATATTTATTTATATATATATAATATAAAAATGAGTGTGTATATTTTATTATTTAGGATTTTTTTTTTTCTGTTTGTCGGGTAGTCGCACGAAAAACCTTAGTTTATGTACAGGTACCTCTGAGTTGGATCAGGACCTACTAGCTTAAGCATTATTGTAAACACTTTCTCCAGTAGCTGATCAAGTATGGGTATGGCAGTGCGTAAGTTTCTGCAAGTTTTAGCAAACCAATCAATGTGCACTGTACATACAAATTTGAAACTGAATTAAAGTGATTGTAAATCCTCACCTTGTAAAACAACCCATTTAGTTTTAAAATACTGTGGAAATGAAAGACAAAATGTTTGTGTATAGATATATTTGATTTTATAAGGACAAGCCTGATCACTGGAAGAGGGCACCCTGAGTTCCTAGCATAGCTAGAGAACAGACCATGCTGTGCTCTCATGCCTAGTATGGTTAGTTTTTTTTTTTTTAGTAGGAAAGGAGAGGGACTGGCAGGTACACCAGGGATTTCACACAAAGGAAGCAATACAAAAGAGAACAGGATTCTTTTTCATACAAGTACATGGTACAACAAGCACATATGAATATGAAATGTTGGGTTTACATTTTCTTTAATGTTTTCATGTATAGTCTGTTCATTAACTGGCATTGTTCACATGCAGGTGGCTCCCAGCAGTGGGTGCAGAACTGAACAGCCGCAAGGAAGCTGGTCTCCTAGCTGCTGTCACCTTGACTCAAAAGATCATCATCTACCTTTCAGACACTACTTTGATGGACATTTTACCAAAAATTAACCAGGATGTCCTCCTGCCAGTTCTAAGCTTCCTGACCTCCACCACTGTTGGGTAATGTACACTGTATATTTATGTGATCTGAAAAAAAAAAATATTGAAATAGAGGTTACCTACTGTGAGAACTGCAGATCAAACTGACAAACATATCTGCATTCATAAAATACAAATCTCAAGTTATAAAGGAAAGGTTGAGCTGGATGTCCTCACTTCCTAAACCACCTTTCTGGTTTTATGTGATTTGCAGCCTTACTGACCTATAGAGAAGCCCTGGAGGTGGGAGGGGGTGAGAGGCCAACCTTGACTAATATTTGCTCATATCTTAGGATCTGCTGATTTATTCTGACATTTTCTTTCCTATGCATATTTTATGGTTTTGATTTGTCATTGTCCTAGCTTCTTATTGGATTATTTTTTTTATTTGCCTGAAGATACTTGAACCCTGTGATTGCCAAGAATTTGTGTTCTACTGTAAGTCAAAGCTAAACTTCTAGATAGTCACTAAAGTATGGAGTACATCTTGGCAATCAAAGGGTTAAAACAAGCTCATGGGCTGATCAAGCAGCCGTGAATATATTATAAATGCAGCCTGTGGCCTCCCTGATTTTAGAAGTAATTGGAGCATTATACGTGACCAGTCACTTTTACAAAGCGAGAACACAGTCGCACAGATGTCGGCAAGCCACACATGAAATTGCACTGTCTGTCGGTTTTGAAATTGTTCTACTTCAGCTGGAGTAGTGCGATTTCAAAGCGGCATTTGGTGTGTGAGCCACAGCTCAGACTGGCATCCTCTCCTGTTGCCAGTCTCATTACTAGCTCTTGAACTCAGGATGGCCAGATGGTTATGTTTTCTGTAGTTCTAAGTTGAACTTTCAATTGGGCAGTATGAAATACTTGAGATTGGTTACTATGGATAGTACAGTCAACTTTCTTCCTCCACTTTTCTATAACAACCCTTGGAATAATGAGAAAATTTGATCACCGAGTATGAATGTTTAATGTTCTTTATCCTCTGGGTAGTTTGCGCACTTGAGGAAGTAAAATGCATTTTAAAAGAGTATAAACAAAAGCTTATTTCCCCTTTTTGTAGATCAGAAAGTAGAAAGACACATATTTGTGAAATCTCCTTCCTAGTTTCAGTTCGTAGGAAAGCTAAACTATAGCAAGCCTTCATGAGAAGTGGGTAGAGCTTTTGATACTTTATTAGCCCATCACATTCCTTTCTGGTGAAGGCCGTGGTTGCAAAGTCATAAACTTGGAATTTTCTATTATTTATAACTTGTGTTTTTCAAGTAAATATACATCCTGCATGCCTCTAATGAAAAGGCTTTCTTTAGACTCAAAGGTACACCTACTAGAGTACAGACAGATCTGTAAATGTGCCTGTAGACACATAGGGGGATATTTACTAAAACTGGTGCACACAGAATCTGGTGCACCTGTGCATAGTAACCAGTCAGCTTCTAGGTTTTATTGTCAAAGCTGAAAGTGTTACTAAACCCAGGACCCTGCATTCACTGTATCTAGTCTCCCACAGTACACAGAACATAGAAATGCAATTTATTTTAGTAAATATAAATTGCTAAATACCTTTTCTCCTCAGCAATATTTATATGTTTTGCGACTTCTATCAGTGTTTAGCCCAGCACTGGTTAAAGCTTGTAGGAGGAGTTTTCATTATGCTCTGACTGTCCTATGAGGTTTCCTAACCCCTGACCCTCCTGACTCTCTGTCTGGACAGTGCTGATTGGCCCTGTGCTGATCACATGCACCCTCCCAAAGGAAGGGAAAAAAATAAAAAAACTGCAGCAATACACGCTAAAATGAGCATGTGCAGAGTGACTCCTAGAGCTCTGTACTATCAGCAGATGGATTGGGGAAAGCAGAAGAAAGAAAAGATCAAAGACAGGATCAAACTGCCTTTTTACAGAGTGTGGATTAAACCCTAAGGTTCCACAGTGAGTATAACAAGCATGCTTTACTGCAAATACGGACTAATTTTACTGTTGTGGGTTTAGTAACACTTTATTTGAACAATCTGACATTAGATGCTGATTGGTTGCTATGCACAGCTGCACCAGATTCCATGTACATCAGTTTTAGTAAATCTCCATAGTAATCTTCTTGATTTTCCTGATTTTTGAAAGGCTGGCCACCACTTAGGACATCAGTGGGTGATGTCAGACTTTGGCAGGTACAATCACACAGTTAATACCTTCTGATTATGAAGGTTCTTTTGATTGTGGTGAAAATTTTTTTTTTTTTTCAGCAGCCCCTGAACTTTCCTTTGTTTTATTATGTGTCCATGTACATAGTCGTTTACAGTGGTTTAAAGTCACATTCAGGAGTAGAGTTTACCGGCGTTCCAAACGCTTGTAACCGCGTGTAAACACTTGTAAATGTGTTTAGATGCGTTTTTGGGCTAGTCCATATCCAGATGCTGTCCAGTGCCTTTTTTTTATTAATAAAAAATGCATGCTCAGCGTTTTCTATGTATTCAAATGGACCTAGTACACCAGTGCAGTCAGTTTCAGGTTTCGCGTGCAGGAAAAAATGTTAGCACTTGCTGCATTATTTCTGCACAAAACTGTACTGGAACACATCAAAACACAGCAAAAAAGCACAAGGAGTGTTGTGTGCACTCCAGAAAGCATCCGGAGGCATTGCAGCACTATGTAGCCCCTCCCACAGTACCAAGAATGTTTCACAAGCCACTTTTGCTACAGTTGCAGCACCCATTAGAAAGTAGTGTTCTCTCTGCTTCTGCCCTCTCTATTTCTCACAAAATGTCTGAAATAGTTAATTATTTACAATTTTTCAGTGCATTCTGGGCATTTGGGAGGGTCTCTTGAGGTTATCTTTTAAAAAAACGCTTCTAACCGCAGACGCGCATAAACACGGTAGGCAAACGTGGCTACACTGATGTTTTTAACCTACGTTTTCTAGCAGTAAGTTTCCAGTGTTCAGAAATGTTTTCCAAACATCCTGTGTACATGAGCCCTTAGTGTCATTGGGATGTCAGTGGCAGTCCGTTCCCCCCCCCCCCAGTGTCAGAATGCCCACTGCAGTCCTGTAGTCCCGCTATAAGTCGCTGATCGTTGCCATTACTAGTATAAAAAAAAAATTCCAGCATATATACTGCCATTTGTAGACGCTATAACTTTCACATGAACCAATTAATTTACATGTATTCAGATTTTTTTTTAGCAAAGACATGTAGCAGAATAAACTTTGGCCTAAATTTATAAAGAAATTTTTGATTTTTTTTTTTTTTTTTTTTTCTGGATGTTTTATAGCAAAAATTTTTTATATATGTGTGTCATTTTTTATATATGTGTGTGTGTGTGTGTGTGTGTGTGTGTGTGTGTATGTATGTATATATATATATATATATGTGTATATGTGTGTGTGTATATATATATATATATATATATATATATATATATATATATATATATATATATATATATATATAGTCAGGTTCCATAAATATTGGGACATCGACTCAATTCTAACATTTTTGGCTCTATACACCACCACAATGGATTTGAAATTAAACGAACAAGATGTGCTTTAACTGCAGACTGTCAGCTTTAATTTGAGGGTATTTACATCCAAATCAGGTGAGCGGTGACAAAAGCACATCTTGTTCGTTTCATTTCAAATCCATTGTGGTGGTGTAGAGCCAAAAATGTTAGAATTGTGTGTGTGTGTGTGTGTGTGTGTGTGTGTGTTTAGTACATATTTTTTTTTTTTTTCCAAAATTGTTGTTTTTTTTTATAGTGCAAAAAATAAAATTACAGAGGTGATCAAACAACACCGAAAGAAAGCTCTATTTGTGGGAAAAAAAGACATAAATTTCACATGGGTGCAGTGTTGCATGACTGCGCAATTCACAGTTAAAGTAATGCAGCGCCGTATTGCAAAAAAATGACCTGGCCAGGAAGGGGGGGTAAATCCTCTGGAGGACAAGTAGTTAACATGAAAATAAATAAGTTGAGATGTGAAATTTTTCGTTTTTCATTTGCAGTATTTTCTGGCGTATAAGACTACTTTTTATACTTAAAAATATACCCCAAAAATCTGGGGTCGTCTTATACGCGGGGTATAAAATGTGAACCTTGAGTTTGTTTGGGTCAAGCTGGCTGGATGTGTGGTAATACTGTACATACAGTATACCGTGCTGAGCCAAGCTGGCTCAAAACAAATGTCCCTATGACAGATTAATCTGTCAGCCCGCTGGATGTGCGGTATATACAGTATACTGCGCTGAGCCAAGCGGTTTCAAAATGTACCGGTACGTCCCTACTGTAATCAGCCCACTGGATGTGTGTGTGTACGGTAGCTGCGGCTACATACAGTATACATTGGGCCAATCACGGCGAGTGATGTATTCTACTAATGAATACAAAGCCTGCTCGGATTGGCTTTGTAGTCAGAGAGGTGGGCTGATGATGTCACAACCTCAGCCAATCCGAGCAGGCTTTGTATTCATTAGTAGAATACATCGCTCGCCATGATTGGCCCAGTGTATGCTGTATGTAGTCTCAGCTACTGTACATACACACATCCAACGGTCTGATTACCGTAGGGATGTACCGGTACGTTTTGAAACCGCTTAGCTCAGTATACTGTATATACCGCACATCCAGCGGGCTGACAGATTAATCTGTCATAGGGACATTTGTTTTGAGCCAGCTTGGCTCAGCGCGGTATACTGTATGTACATTACTGCACATCCAGCGGGCTGTATATATACTGTATGTAGCCGAAGCTACTGTATTACCGCACATCCAGCGGGCTGTATATATACTGTATGTAGCCGGTACTGTATTACCACATCCAGCGGTAACCATCTGATTTGGAATTTGGTCCATATGATGACTGTCTTACAAATGTATCACAATATGTCATTCATGAACTTATGATGTCAGAGAATGAACATGAGGAGTTTGAAGGATTTTAAGTACCAGTGTTTTAAATGGTGTTGCCTCGGAAGGGGGGTAGTTTTATACGGCGAGTATAGCCCAAAACCTATGTTTTAACTGGAA